TCCTACCAGTGCCAAGAAGTGGGCAGCTCAGAGGAGGAAGTAGAAGAACTAGAGGAGGTCCAGAGAAGGGCAGCAAGGATGGTTAGCAGTATAGGGGGGCCTTCATATGAGGAGGGGCTAAAGACAAGGCCTATCCAGTTTAGAAAAGATGTGCTGGAGGTGGCTTGGGGGGCAAGAAGGGTTTACCAAATACTATATGACAAAGAGAAAGTGGGTAGGGATTCAGTATTGAGAGAGAGTCAATGAAAGAGCGAGGGGTCACAAAATGAAACCAGCAGTCAACCAGTCAGTCTAAAACCAACAACAGGAAGTTCTTTTTCACACTGCCTATCAGTCAAGTCATCATCAGTGGTGACAACAGCGACCAGTAACAGTGGAAGTTGAGAGTTCAGCTGATTCACAAGAGATTGGACATGTTCTTGGAGCAAAGGGGCATGCGTAGGTATTGAGCATGGGAGTGAGGGGCATGGCCTTTGAATCAGAATGTCTTGGACCTTAAATGCTGGAGGCTGCAAGTGAGAGAGGAACAGGGAAAATCCCTGGTCAGACCCAGTTCACCCTCCCTCTCTGTATTCACTATGTGCCAGCATGTAACACAGGAGACTGGGAAACTTGGACTTCAGGTCTGACACAGGTCATAGCAGGTCTTATGTAGGAAAGCAGAGATTGGGGTGTGGGGAGGGTCTGGCCCAGACCTGGGCTGGGGGCCCGGCTGAGTGAGGGGCTCTGGCTGTGACTCACTGAGCTGCTTAGGTGCCATTAGCTGTTGGGTATCAGCCTGCTTCTTCCTTCACTCTCAGGGGTCCCAAAGCAAGTGACACTGGAACTGCCACCCATGCTAGAGAAGGGCAAGACCTACCCCGTGACCTGCAGGGTGGTCAATGTGGCACCTGTGAGGAACCTCAGTGTGACCCTGCATCTCGGGGGTCAGGTGCTACACACAAAGAACTTCCAGAATTATACCCCGATGAATGCTACCAACATCATGGCTACATTCAACGTGATTGCGGAGCGCGAGTACCATGGGCAGGATGTCACCTGCCACACGGCACTGGACCTGCGGCCCCATGGGCCTCTCCTCGAGAATGCCTCCACCCCAGCCAGCCTCAGCGTGTATGGTGAGTTTGGGATTGAGCTGGGAGCTTTACCAGACACCTTGGGGACCCCGGAGCTCTCTAGCCTGGGTCCTGACACATTGCTCTGCCTTCTCCAGGCTCTGAGCTGGTCCCTGGGCCTGAGCTCCTGTCCCAGGCACCTTCTGTGCGGTGCTGCCTCAACTACAGCCAGGTGCCTCCCATGAGCAGACTGTTGAAACACAGGACATAGTGGGTACTGCTGGGGCCTGCTTAGCCACTTAAAGGGGCAGGGTCCTCAGAGAGAAAACATGCTGGCTGCCCTCTGTCCAGTGTCCGTGGGAGCAAGGTCTGAGCATGAGTGGTACCTAGGGTGAGCAGGGGACTGTGATGGAGACAGGGCATGGGAAGCCATGTAGTTTCAGAGACCTTGGTGCTTTCCCGGGTAAGCTGGAGGGGAGATAGGGAGTCTGCATGTAAAATTGAGCAGAGGCAGGTGGGCCATCCCTGAGGGGAATGAGTTCCACTTGCTTGGGGGTTAACAAAGCTGGGAGTGGGATGGACATCCTGACTGTTGGGGCCTGTCACTGCCCAGATGCCCCCCAGGCCAAGATTTGGGCTGTGTCAGGTACTGTACAACCCCTCCAGATCAAGGACAGGGCCTTGTCATTCTGGGCACTGGCCAGACCACCCTGAGCCAAGACTGGGGCCCTGCCTTGTTCTCTTCCTTGTTCCCCGCATAAACAGCAGGTGACTTGTTCCCTGCAGGCTTCCCTGAGACCCTCCTAACCACAGACCTATTGGAGATTATGAAGGAAAAAAATGAGAGTAGGCATCTGGTGCATGAGAATTGGGGGGCCAGGAAACCCAAACACCTGGGTTCTCTTGGCAGCTCTGGGAGGGGAGTGGGGTTATCTGGTGGGTTAGAGCTGGGGTGGGGTGGTGCCCAGATGCCTGGGTTCTACATGCCTTTTGCAGTGCTGCAGCCCAGTACGTGTGCCCCACCCTCCCTCCACTGCAGGTAGGCCAACACTGGGTTTTGCCCTGTCAAGGGCAAGGCCTGTGCACCCTTCAAGGTGCAGGCCCAAGTGGAAACCTGGCTGGTGTTGTATGGGAACTCCATATGGAACAACTGCAGCACAACATGTAAGGACCCCAGTGCTATGGGTGATGTGGAGACTTCACTCGCCAAGCGCTACCTGGACATGGGGCCAGGCTGGCTGGCTGTGGAGCTCCATCACTGAGTGGCACTCTGTGCCCCTGTGTGTCTTCCGCTGCTTTGGGCAGCTGCAGCAGTCAGCAGCCCCCATCACTGCATACCATATGTGCCACACATGGGTTGGGGGGGGGCTTTGGGGGACCTCTGATCTGTGCTGCCTCTAGCAGGGAGTGGGGTGAGGAGCCTCTGGGGTGCAAAGAGTGCCCCTGTCTCAGCCCCACTCCCCCTGTCTGCCTGCAGAGACCCCAGCACGGGTGGTGCTAGAGATGACCCCAGAGATGCAGCAGGGTAGCACTTACAACGTGACCTGCCAGGTGGAAAATGTGGGGTCCCTGCAGAACCTCAGTGTGATGCTATACCGTGGGCACCAGATCCTGCACACAAAGACCTTCAGTGATGATCTGGGGGCCAGGCCCCATGACAAGCTCGTGACCTTCAACATGACTGCACGGCGCTACCACCAGGGCCAGAACATCAGCTGCCATGCGGTGCTGGACCTGGACCTGAATGGGCACAGGCTGGTGGTTGAGGAGAGCAGCCCTTCGACCAGTTTCAGAGTATATGGTGAGCTCCCACACCCATGCCCTGGTCCCCTAGCTTCCTGCCTAACTCCTCCCCCCCCCGGGTTTCCCTGCAGCCACCAGTTCCCAGCTTCTCCCTCTGCCCCAGCTGCTCCCTTATGAAAGCAGGAGACTGCCCCCTTGCCCAAGGCAGCAGAGTCACGTGCTTGGGCAGCGCAACATATGGGGAGGTGGGGGGGAATTTCCTATGGGTCCATATCCCATTTTCTCTTGGGAGTGGGTAGGAAAGGGGGTGTGGGATTTAATCCTTCATGTTTCCCCTTGCAGTCATGGGCAGTACTATGTCCCCCTGCTGGAAGCCAGCGACTCCTCTGGCTCTGAGCAATATGATGTCTATGTTACATGTTGAGAGGGTCCAAAGGAGGGCCACTCGCATGATCCAGGGACAGCAGGGCAGACCCTATGAGAGGCTATGGGACCTTAACTTGTTCAGCCTTCATAAAAGAAGGCTGAGAGGGGACCTGGTGGCTTTCTGTAAACTTACTAGGGGGGACCAGAGGGAAATGGGAGAGACCTTGTTCCCCCAAGCGCCTCCCGGAGTAACAAGGAATAACGGCCATAAGTTGTTAGAGAGTAGGTTCAGACTAGACATTAGAAGGCACTACTTCACAGTCAGGGCGGCTAGGATCTGGAATCAACTTCCAAGGGAAGTGGTGCTGGCTCCTACCTTGGGGGTCTTTAAGAGGAGGCTTGACGATTACCTAGCTGGGGTCATTTGACCCCAGTTTTCCCTCCTGTCCAGGGCAGGGGGTTGGAAGAAGATCTGCAAGGTCCCTTCCAACCCTGTATCTATGAATCTATGCTAGGGCAGCAAGACACAACTTGAGGGAAAGCAGAGCGTGGGGATCCTGTAGGTCCAGATCCTGTTCCCTCTTGGGAGTGGGTCAAGGAAGGGGCGTGGGGTTTAACCCTTTGTGTCTCCCTTGCAGCCAGCAGCCAGGCGCAGATCGTCGCGCTCAGCAGCATTGTGGCCTTAGTGATATTGCTGGTGGGCACTGGGGCTAGAGTGCTGGGGTGGCGGCTCCAGGCCCAGCAGAGAGAAGAGCGGAAGACTAGGAGCCTGGCACAGAGGGAGTGAGGCCAGAGGCCTCAGGCTGCTGTGGGGGGAGTGGAGCCCAGAGGAGACATTGGCACAGGACAGGTCGGAAGCTCTGTCTTCCAGGTCTGTGGGGTCATTAGCAAGGCCTCATTAGCAGTGAACAATAGAGATTAAAGTTTTTAAGTATTTGAAGGGCTGGATCATGTGTGTTCCCTGATGTGGGCATGTGTCTTGTGGCATATGTGTGTGCACCCTGGCACGTGTGCCCTGATGTGTCTGTGTTCCTTGCATGTGTGTTCCCTGGCATGCATCTCTGTGTGTGCATGTGTTGTCTCCAAAGGACAGTGTGAGTTCGTGCCCAGTGCGCTTTTGCAATAAACACACAGGGGTGGAGGATCCAACTTAATCTTTATTGTTTCAAGTCTGCGCAGAGAGGGGTGCTTGGCGATCATTCGCAAAACAAGCACACCGGTTTCTACCTTTGGGTACCTTATATACGTATGTTTGCAAGTGTATCGCTCAGTGATTGGTTACAAGCCACTGACATAAGACGTTCTCTACTGAGCATGTCTCTGTACCTATGTTTTAGCCATGTATTTCATTTACATACATATATGTTTCATTAACATACTTTTGCTCTGCCCAGGGGTGTGATTTTTAGCATTATAATGAGACCTTTTTCTGAACTTCTTGCTATCTTACAGGTGTCAGGGAGACATTATCCTGCTGGTGTTAGGGAGGCATTCCAGGAATCCTCCGCATCCCACACGCTGTGCTCTGCAAGCATCTCTTAACACACACATACTACACCCCTCCCAGCACCAGTAAGTTGCCTTAAGTATTCAGTTAGATATAGTTTGCAAAGCTAGATATACCATAAAGATTACATAAAAAGATTACATCACATGTGGTAGGCATGTGTGTTTTGGTATGCAAGCGTGTGTGTGTGTGTGTCCTGACATGCATGTGTGTGTGTCCTGTCATACGAGCATGTTGTGTATGTGCTCCCTAACATGCAAGCATCTGTGTGTGTACACGTGTTTCCCGACATTCAGGCATGTGTGTGCGTGTGCTCTGACATGACTCCACCACCTTGCTCCCAGGTCTGGTGCATGCAAGGTGGCCATTCCAGGGGGGTACCAGAGTCCACAGCTCCAGGCAGGACACCTGGGCCATGCCACCCTAACACACTGGGGACACCTGCACCCATTGAGGATAGCCTGGCAGCTCTGAGGTTGCCCAGGGCTGGAGGCCTCCCAGAGCCATACTGAGGCCTAACAGCATCACCAGCCCTAGGCATTGCTGGCAGCAGCTGCAGAGCCAGGGCCTGGCCAGAAGATGGTGCCAGGGGCCTGTGCAGGAAACCAGCGCTTGTCAGTAGTGATTCACCCACTGCAAGGAGCTCAGCTGCCCCAGGCTGTATGAAGGGGGATTCAGGGGTGGGCCCAGCTTCAACCCACACCCCTCCCTACCCACACCTGCCTGTGGCCAAGGGCCAGGTTTGCAGGGAGATCATTACCTGCTAACAACACCTTGGCAGCCTGCTACCCTCCTCACCCAGCAGCCGGGGCACCAGGCACTGGTGCAAGCCCTGGGACTGCAGAATGGTGCACTATGCCCTCTTGCAAGCACCTGGGCTGTGCATTACGCACGCCTGCAAACACCAGGACTGAGCACTCATGTGAGCCCTGGGACTGCATGCTTGTGCAAGCCCCAAGACCATGCACTAATACAAGCACTGGGACTGCATGATGCACCCGCGCAAGTACCAGGATGATGTGCTGCACACATGCAAAGGCTACGACTGTGAGTGTGACTTCAGGGCTGTGAGCGTAAGACCTTGGCACCTGCACCAGCCCTGCTGCTGCCTGAGTGGGGACCTTGGGTGCCTCTTCCCTTTCCCTTCCCCACCCACCAACTGCAGAGCTCCTGGGGGTAGGGGCTGAGTCCAGCCCATGGATCCCATTGTCTGCAGGGGGCAGACCCTGGGCAGTAGCTGGTCTGGTGCAGAAAAGGGTCTACAACCTTCTTCCCTGTGCCAGCACCCCCACCCTCCCCCCAGCCTTGGCCACCTGCCCTCTCAATTTCCGCCCTCCCAGGCGCCTTCTGGGAAGCGGATGGTACCTCCTTCACCCCGATTGCTGCGCCCTTTCATGCTTCTGTTGCAACAGCCCAGGCGGGACTGCCCACACTGCTGGGGAGGGAACAAGCAGCCAAGGCAGCTTTAGCGGGTTACCAGCTCCCTAGAAGCCTGGCCTTCTGCCAAAGGCAGCAGGAGAGGCTGGGCCCAGCCCAGGAACCCTGTTCCCCATGGCCTAGAGCTGCATGGGCCAGCAACTGAGCTGCCCTGATGCCATCTGGACCCACCAAGCTTGGGAGGGGAGGAGGAAAGGAGCCAGAGGGGCCATATTTTGGGCTGTGTGGGGCACAGTATACTGGGTACCTGGGCGGGGGCGGTCTGGGCTGCTTTTTATATAGGAAAAGCATCACAGAGAGAAACAGTGGCTCTTCAGCAGCCATTTCTAAAGGAGGGAATGAACCCCGCCCCTCTGGAAAGCTCTGACCCCCATGCCGCAGCAGAAAGAGAAGGAGGAAGCTAGGCACAAAGCCTCTTTCTTCTTTTCTAGAGGGGAAATAAAATCCTTTTCCCCACAGCATCCCTCCACCCTGCCCCCCGACTTCCAGCACCTGTGGTCCAGCTGCCTGGGTCATACTGAAAGCTGCCAGGCAGTGCCAGCTCTTCTCTGGTGCCTGCTGGTACTGTCCCTCCCTTCCTGGCCTGTCACCAGCCCCTGCTGTGGGAGAGGCCATGCTGGGTGGACAGAACCCTCCAGGCCTACATGGACATGCATGCCCATGCTTCTTCCCCTCCCCCTGCAGCCATGAATGACACATGTTGGCGCAGGAGGACTCATGTGCAGGGCCCTGGGGGGGCGTGTGGGCAGGGGCCCCTGTCGCCAGGCTGTGTGGGCTGTGCCAGCCTGAGCGCTGCGATACAGGGCGTGCTTTCTTTTCATTGTCACGCTTGAGTCATGCATTGCCAGCTCCTGCTGCTGGCAGCTCCCACGCGGGTTTGGGGGGCGGGGGTCTACCTTGCCTCCGGGAGAGCCCTGAGCTCATGGCGCAGGGAGGGAAGGAGCCTTGTGAATGAGAGGACCTGACTAGAGGCAGCCATGCACTCAGCAGCCCATGGACATGAGCAAGTCTTTGCCCACACTGATGGGGACATACGTGTTGGGAGATGCTGCCACATGGGCACCGGCTGCCAGAACATACACAACACCCCTGCTTCTAGGGCTGTGTCTGGCCTGCAAAGGCCAGGGCCCAGCTCCCCCAGTGCTACCTCTAGCCCACCACAGAGCACCCCACCCCCCACTGACCCCTACCCGAGGAGCTGCCTCCAGGGCTACAGTTGCCCCTCCCTGGGCTTGAGTGGGGGGAAGAGCTGGGAGACAGAGTCCTGGCTGGAACAAGCTGAACGCAGCTGAGCTGGAGACATCTGTGCCTACCCACGACTGGGGATAGTGGTACAGTGCCCGCCTCCACCCCCACCCCTGCTCTGGCACCTTCCCCAAGCCCAGCCCCACTCCAGCCCCGGCCCCCTCCAGGCCGGAGACCCCGAGCTGGCGTAGGGCCCGGGCACGACGGCCCCGCGGGGGTCCCGGCCGTCCCGGGTCGGGGAAGTGCATGGAGGCAGCCGCGGGGTGGGGGCGAAGGGCTTGCTGCTCCAGCCGCGGCTCGCCAGGGCGCCGCTGGGGCCGGGCGGCGGGGCGGGC